TTTAAACTTACCGAATTTGGATAAAAGTTGGACGGCTGACAACTGAAATAACAATTAGAACATAGCCTTTTTTCAGACGACACTCCCAAATATAGAGTCATAGTCGTAGTGAAATAGTGAACATTGCATCTCTTAAAGATGATACTGAGTGTACGTATGCATACGTACACGCCTCGTTAATGTAATCATTACCGGTTATACGGTTTAGCAGAGCGCTGATTGAGCGTCTAACAATTCCGCTGTCCGTGACGTGCAAACTTTATTATGGAGCGACTAATCACAATAATATCAAAATTTACCCGTCGGACTGATGGCCACAAGCACCATTCCAGGTGGTGATTCATTGGATATTGAACGATCACTCAAGAGGGTGTAAAGCTGCGTTCTAATCATTCAGGATCCTAAAACCATTACATTACGCATAGAGCGAAAGTTAATGTTAGCAGTTGACGTCATTTAAATAAGCTAGTTACTTCCGGTTTGAATTATGACATTTTAATAATTGGCAAGATTATATAAAAGATTCAGTAGAGGTACATCCTCTTGTTGTTAGATCAAGAGTGAAAAAGAGATATCCTCTAAAGAAGATTATTATGTTTTTAGTGTTTTTGTAAAAGTAGGAGTCATGAGCATTTGTAAAAGAAGTGACGTAACTCGTTACCTTGGGAATGATTCATTGACCTGTAAAATGGAACTTGCTACATGGATATGTTTCAGCAGGTCTGAGCTCAGCTAGTATCCCTTCAAAAATAACTAGTAGCTCTTGTTCAACAGGAAAAGTTAAGCTTCTAAGCATTTTTCTAATCAAGATTTCTTAATACCACTGAACCAAGAGTCAGGAAGAAATCGACTAATTCTTTTTAAAAGCTCATTGCTTGCTTTTCCTTAAGATAGTTTTAGATCAATACATGTATATGTGCTAAAAAGTAAGTTCAATTTCCTCATTATGAAGAGTAAAGATTGCCCATACAAAACCTCCTCCAAAGGTCATAACTAGAAATTCAAAACGTCTGATTAGTTGAACTGATTAATTGAAGAGAGGCATTTCATTCCTTGAACTTTGTAGCCAAGAAAAAGAGGATGAAATATTCCTTATAGGGTTGGTCCTACTTGGCTGATCTGATCATGACTTGATAGGCGACCCTTCATATCGCTAACAGCATTGTTACAACCATTTCGACCAATCAAAAGCTACTCTTAAGTCAGCTGGTAGCTATCATCCAATCAAAATCTATATCCGGCCTTGTCTTATGATTAACTTCCGTGTTCTTCTCGAGCTCAGTCGACTGGTTGGTTCAAGTAAGGATACAAGCAATAGTACGATGAATCATACTTAATTGTATGTAGCTCCGTCCAGTAGATCGTAATTCAATCAATTCTACAATTAATGGATGATACAAAAGTTATATATGCTGGGTATTTGAAGAAGTCGCCTCCCGAGCGACGCCTTTGGCGAACGGTAAGCAGACATGAAGTATTCGCAGGGGCCGATTCTGTTGCGTTTTATAAGTTGAATCTATGTCTCTGAACTTGATTCAGTTTTCAATTTATGAAGATTTCTCGCTTTTAGTAGCTAATAATCAAAATTTTATTGATGTATGAATTAGTTTAAAACTCTTTTGAAACCTTTGGAGTCGATTTCCGTTGCGAAATACATAATTAATTGTGACATTCCTTCACTGTCCTCACGAACACGACCTTCGTCCTTTCAAAATAATCTAAGGCAAAATATACACCTTATGTCCTTTAAAATTCCCTTCAGAACTGTAATAGAAGAGATAAATACTGTTTAAAAACTTACTTACCGGGGCCCCCAAACACATTTTCATCAAAGTGGACAAAGAACAAAAAATGTACGGTTTTTCAGTAAATATGGTTTGTGATTATTGTTTACTGAAACCAAGTCACTTTCGTATTTTGAATATTCAGAGTCCAAAAGCTTTTTGATCATTTGCTGTTTCATTTTCATCATTTCCTATTTAATAAACCAATCAAACGAGTGCCAAAAATAGAAATTTTGAAAATCTGTTTTCTTATGAGTTTTTGAATTCCAATATTGTCGTTCTTAGCTGTAGATCTCTAAATTATTATAGTTCTCGAGTAAATATGAAAAGATCGAATCTTATTTTGAACAGAGAGTAATTTGTCTGTGGTAGCATGTAACTATCGGACTACTCAGATTTTGTTATTAACTTTCTTATAGGATACTTTCATAACATTTTCCATCCTCGTGTTTCGCTTTTGTAAACTATTCAAAATAGCCCTGTTATGAAGGTTGGCAATCTGCTCGAGTTTCTTAAGCTGAGAAATACATTTTGTAATCCATCTGTCAAAGTTATTGATTTGTTATTGTTAGAAGTTACAACCCAGCCATGATTGCAAAGCCGGTAACATCACAGAACTGGAAATCAAATTCTAGATGTTATTTGAAAGTAAACATTCGAGATCTTCCTGTGTACATGGGTGAATCCCCAGCAAATGAGAACCTTTCACTATTTTCATCACTTCCCTATACACAGACTTCAACTGCTTTGGAATTTTCCTTGTTAAAATGTTGAAATCTTTTAAATAATGTATTTAGGACAAAAATTCAAAAAGTTTGATTTCTATTAAATTGTATCGTTAGTTTATATATGTAAAACATTTTCACGAATATCATGTAATGACACCGGTTTAACCTCCAGCACCGTCTTAAAGTGTCACAATCTGATCTAACATGTTGTGGCAAAACAAAAAAGTAATATACTTGACTTATTAATTTTTTTTCTTTCAGTGGCACAAACGGTATTTTGTACTCAAATCCAACAAAACCTTAACATACTATCCAAATGAAAAAGACACCAGGCCAGTTAAAGATCCTGTGGATTTACGCCAATGTCTAAGCATTGAAGCTAACCTTCGGCACAACAACAAAAGCTTTAAATATGTTTTTAGTATCAATACAACAAACAGGGTATACTACCTAGTGGCAGAGTCACAAAACGAAATGGAAAAATGGGTCAACCTGTTGTGCAAGGAGTGTGGATTTGAAAAACAAGATGACAAATCATCGCCAGGTTAGAAAGAAAATAAGATAGAATATTTAATTTTGCATTATAAAGGAACCAATCAGAATTCTGTGGCACATCATTTCCTTGGAGATACAAGGAAGTATTTCTGGAGGATTTGTGATGTTAATTAGGTTAATATATAACTAAACATTTCCTCAAAACTCACAAAACCAGGAGGAAGGGTAGAAAAGAAATGAAAATACTGATACATATTTCTTTTATTTAATATAGGTACACACACTCATACACACGCACACACACACACACATACATAAGTATTTTCTTGCTAGACTTTGAGCAGCAAGGTTAATATTCCATATATTCACTGGGCCTAAGGAGAAGAATTGTTATAACAAGTATAATTTCGGATTTGAGTATCAGAGAAAAGTCAAAATTGAGGATTTAAAAAACATTTTAGTATTTACTTCTGCCTTGGCAAACTTTGGGAAGCCTTCATAGTCACTGCACATGCATGCTTGAGCAGTAAATTAGTCTCATAATCACTGGTCCCTTGATCAATCACAGTATAGTATATACATGCATATAATGCAAACTGAGAAAATGCAGTAATGTAATAATTCAGATTACTTCCTTTTGAAGTCTGTTTGTTTTTTATTTGCAGACTTTCTGCTTAAAAAATCTTCTCCAAAACAAACAAAGAGTCATGTGCAAACTGTATATCCCAGTCCACTGACCCCCTCACCTCCAGCCACCTGTCCTCTCTCTCAATCCATGCCAATGTTGACCAAGTGCAGGGCTGTCAGTGACCCTCCAGATTCTGCAGAAATCATTAAAAGAGCCGAAGAACAATATAAGACTGCGACTTTGGAACGGCGGCGATCTACTGGTGTTCCTTCTAGAGAACACTTGACTCTACCTGTGCGTGGACCAGATTTAAGTAGAGTGCCTGAATGTTATGATACAGTACCACCACCTAAGCCCACTTATTCAAGTAGAGACCTAGCTTCTCCCCAAAGACCTCCAAAAAGGAGAGATTATAGTGAAGTAGATGGAGGGTACACTAGTCTGGCACAGCCATCACCAAGATCCCCTGTAGATAGTTATGACATTGTACCACCTCGTCGGCGTTCAACCTGTTCCACAGACTATGATATTGTTCCTAAACCACGGCCTGCATCACAAGCAACTGATGATGAAAGTCTCTATGACATACCTCCATTATTGAGAAATTCGAATGTTAGCAACTATGACTTCGTTCCACCACCTAGACCTGCGAGTGAAAATGATCCAAGCCAACTTTATGACTATGTTCCCAACCATAACCCTGAAGAAATGTATGATTCACTTCCTCCTAGACATATGAACTGTGAAGATGAAACATATGACGTCCCTCCAAGAGAAGCTTATGATATCGTTCCTCCTCCAAGACCAACAACACAATTAATCGATACAGCTGATTGTTATGACACACTGCCCCCAGCAGGTCAAGACAATGAAATTTATGATACTCCCCCAGCATTTTCTGCCAGAAATAATCAAGAAGTCAGTCATTCACCTCCACCAAGACCACCCAAACCTTCAGGTAATGTGCAAGCACAGGATATATATGATGTCGTACCTTGTCCACAAAATTTGGGTCCAGTCACTGAAAATAGAGACTCTGGTTTATATTCAGATGACGTTTATGATGTGCCCCCCAAGCTGAATACACCTGATCAAGAAAGTGATATATATGACATTCCACCCAAGCCAAGTGACAGTGATATATATGACATTTTACCAAGTAGATCAGAGACTGATGACATTTATGATGTCCCACCAACACAAGGTTAGTTTTGTCATAGGTTATATTCCATTAAAGAACTTTTTCCATTTCACCCAGCTACAATTTAAGATTTTTTTAGAGGGAAAAATGCAGATTGAGAGCTCAAAGCAAAACCCTCAAAAAATAAGGAGAAAAGTGACAGGTAACTTACTAATCATTAAGCCAGGTAATTAGTACTGGTAATTATTGATAAAGGCAGGCAAGGGGCAGATCCAGCTAAAAATATAATCAGGGCTTTACTAAATTTTGCAAACGACACTAAAGAAATTGGGAAAAAGTATTTAAGTATATGCTTTCCATTCCACTTCAAGAAACATAACCAATGTTCTGAAATTCATAATGTTTATAAGTCAGTGTACAGTAGAACTGATTCAAGGATCCTACAGAAATAGAATATCACATCTCGTTCATGAATATAGTGTACACATAAAGGGGTGTTTTTTAACAAATCAAAGTATTTAGATTGTAAATAACCTAATTAAGAAAGTTCATAGAACAATGGAAAATGGTAAATAGTATTTTTCAACACTGAAAAAAATTTTTTTTTCCATATTTAGCTGCCTTATCCCCACCATCAGTTGACCGATCCAGCAAACCTCCTTCAGTGGATCGTAGTAATAAACCTGAAGACCATGACTACACGAATATGGCACCTCCAGTTAACCGAAAAATCAAACCACCAGTCTCTAACCATGATATTTGTGGGCAGCATTCCTATGTGAACTTACTTCCACCCGTTCAAAGAGCTGGTTCGTTTAGCAAGAATCAGTCATTACCAGAAACTTTCGATGTTCCAAATATGCCAATAAGGAACCAAAAAGATGTTGAGTATTATAACATGCAACCATACAGATCAGATGAAACAAGGTGTTACAGCTTTTCTAAAGATAAGGTTCGTAAGATGAGTGATAGAGAGGCATACGAGGAAATGGAGCCAGTCAAAACATCCAACCGAGAGTCAGGAGTGCACAGTAATTCTTCATCTTCTGAAGATGGAGAGGAAGACTGCTACATGGTGATGTCTTCTCCAGGTCAAAATGTAAGTCATCACTTAAATAAACTTTCGTCTTAATATTGAAATATAAGTCATATAAGTCATAATGACTAAATGCAATGATATGCCAACATAGACTTTCAGAAAAAAAAACTGTTTAGAAATAGTCACCACTATCAGAAAGAGCAAGCCAAAGAATATATATTATGAAAAAAAGATATTGCTATAAATAGAATATTTCTAGTGAAGTTTTTCATAATTAAAATTACAAAGATTGTAAGCGTTCATTCAAATGAGGACTGACTGGCTATAGCCTCGTTTTTATTCTTTTTTTACATCTATTAATTCTTAATAACTTCTTAAAAATTTCATAATATTTTCACCACCTTTTCTAGCTTTGTTAAAATTATTATGTTCTATAATTTTAATTAAGTGATTAAGTATTAATATATGGCATTATTGCATCCAGTGCATGTAGGCATGGGGTGTAGGAGAATATTTCGTTTGTGATGGCGAAAATGCTTGTTAGTAGACCAAATAGATCACTAATTACTCACTTGAATCTCTCAATCCATCTTCTTTATTGTTTTGTAAGTCTCCAATAACTAAACATGAATTCAATAGTCTTTTTACCTCCTTTTCTTTGATGAAAGTTGCCATCTTTGTTATTGATGAGCCTGCAATATCTTATTTAAGGAAAGACCGTAGATATGTCATTACCACAGGGAGCCTATTTTCTGTTGTATTCTCCTTTTTTAGTAAAAAGAGAATACAACAGAAACTGGGTTCCCTGTTTTGGTGACGTATTTGTAGTTTTTCATAATAAGATATAGACATAAATTGTAAGACGTAAATATTATTGTAACCAATGAGCGCATATATTCACTACTATTATGTTCACTTTGCCTTCAGCGAATAATTGTTAAATAGCGGGCTCATAAGAAAGACAAAGATGGCAGTTAGATTGATTTGATTAAAGAAAACTAAGGAGATAAAAAGACCATTTAATTCATGTCTATTCATCAAAGACAAACGTAACATTCAATAAAATATGGATAGACAGATCCAAGTGAATAATTAGTGATCTATTTGGTGACTAATAACAAGCATTTTCCCCGTTACAAACCAAATATCCTCCTACAGCCCATGATTTACGTCTGGCACTTGGCATGTACAGTGAAGGAAAGAAAGAGAAACTGAAACCTCATTCATTCATTCATTCGTTCATTCATTCTTTCAATACTATTTACTGTATACTGGGAGACACAGATCAAATTTAGTGAAAGAATAAGAAGATTAATCCTTCATCTAAGTATAAAATTTATTTTTTAAATTAAATATCCTATTTGTCTTTCAGGCTAAATCATCTCAAAGGTCTGCCAGCCTGCAATACTGTGAAGTTCAAATTGTTGAAGGTCAAAGTAAATGCCAAATGCCAGTTTCAAAGCGCGGTGCTGACTCCCATTATACTACAATCAACGAGGAATCTACCAAAGCTTTCCTACAAACATGCAGACAACATGAACTAAGCCAAAAGAAATAGTGTAAAGCAGAAAGATTATTTAAACATGCAGTCGAAGTAGTGAGGAACAAATAGCTCTGGTTAGACCTTTTTAATTCATATATTTTATGGTACAAAGTGATGAAGGTTTTTGATGAATCTCATTATCAGGTGCAATCCTAAATTAGCAAGGAGAAAGGGTTAAAATGGGAAAAGGGGTAGAATGCTAACAAAAATTGAAAGGATGAAGAAAAAGCACATAAAATATGGAGAGTTACATAGCCTTTAAAGGAAAATCTGTCCTTCCTCCTTCCAGCTAATTTTTGGCCACTCTGACACTTCAACTTCAGTATTTAGTCAAGATTTTCTATCTTCATTCCAAGAGTAATAAGCATAAGTTTGTTATTATTAATTAGGAAACTGGTTTTGACATAAGTAAAGTCACAGGCATAAACAATAAAGTAGTACATTACAGATAAAAACAAAAATGTAAATATCATCAATATTCAAAATAATTTTTAAAAGTAGCATACGAAATCCTTACAGTCAAATCAGGTTTTTTAAATACATTTTTGAGCTTGAAAAATGTTTAAACATTTTCGGGTGCCTAATTTGGACCTTCAATTTAGCCAGTGTGCGGGTGATGAACAAACACTCGGTGCTCAAAACTGAATAACATTCAAAACTTTGCACAGAACGCTATATTTTTCTTAAATAGATTTCAACTGGTAAAAAGCAAACTTGTGTCAAAGTTCTTTTTTTAAACATACGTTTTTCAGTAGAACTTACAGACTGAAATGCGTCCTGTGCTTTTGTTTTTGTTTGAGTACGGTTTTTGTTTCATTAATGCTTAATTTTATTCTCAAAATTTTCTTCAAATCTTTAAGTTAGGTATCGAAAATAATGTTTAAAGAAAAAAAGGCTCTGAAAAAATAACTTCCATTGCTTTCATTTTTAGTTTCGAAAACTTTAGTCAAGATGGTAGCTCGGGAAACCGAAATCTTTTACCGTATGAGATAGCTAGTCGGTAATACGACTTAATTGTGACAAATAAAGCTATAAACCTTAAGCAGAGTAAGATAAAGATATGTAAATAGGCACAATTTAACTATAAGCACAAAAGGCTTTTGGAAAGAAACTCTTACATTGTCAGACATTTTGTAACCAGATATCTTGTTTGTTGTTTTTCTTTTTTTCCCAAATGAACTCAATTTAAAAAAAGTCGATAAACTATATACAGATAATCCAGGTTTTTCTTAGTTTTATGGAAAATTTTAAAGTAGAATAGAAGATGTACATGAAAAAATGATTAATTAAAATATATCTTAACTGTAATCTGGGAGCCTGTGAAAGATTTTCCCCCCGAGGTTTAAATTTTCTTTTCAACACTCAGGCCTTACATTCACTATTATTTCAGTGCTTCTTGAATCCCAACTTACTCAAAATCAGTTATTCGTAAATAGTATATTCATAGCTTACCTTAAAACTTCGATAAAAACTGATAATTATAGAGACTGAGCCCCGTCTCTCTCTTACTCGAGTACGCCATCTTGTCTTGCATGCTATCTGACAGCGCCCGTCCAACACCGCGCGCGCGCCAATTCAACGCTAAAAGAGACCAAGACATTGAGTTGACAAGACAAGAGTTGTTACTAACTGCTTTGGGAAAGTTTTTTCACATTGTTACCAAAAAAATAATTAAAAAAGGCTGGAATATTGCATCATCCCATTTTGCACGAACAAAATACCACAGACAAAACATATTGTCATTGAAACACTAATGTCAATCTTTGCTGCATAATTTATTTCTTTTTTATGAAATCAAGTATACAAGTTAGTAATAAAACCTGATAGGACGTAGAAATTACACTCGTATGGATATCAATACCAAGAGTATACGACACAGACTGAAATTCCAGTCAAACCCCAGTGTTAACATACGACTGAAATATGGCAACCAATTTGAATAATTATTATTTTTTAAATAGGGCTGACTAGCCTCTCTTACATGACTGTGTAAAAGCTTTTGTTTTCCCACTAATTAACACGAGGCTAGTCAGCCCAGAACAGTTATAAAGTAATTCCAATTGTTTGTCATTCATGATCTTAGTTTTTCAATTAAAAATATCCCAAAAGCGTCTATTTTTTGTGTGACAACAGCTTAAAATATAACAGTCAAAAGACAGGTTTGAAACGGCACTGTCTACATTAAGAAACTTTGGTATGGTCTTGTTTTTTTCTCAAATGCTGAAATATCCCAAAAGCGTCTATTTGTTCGTGTGACAACAGTCATAATGAAAATGGGATAAAATACAACAGTCAAAAGACAGGTTTGAAACGTCACTGTCTACATGGAAGTACAATAGCTTGAACAATATCATAGAAAACCTCTAGAAATGAGGTCAATAAATATTATAATTCGTCAATCTAAAATTTCTAAACTAAATTCATTATATGGACACAACAGAAAAACGTTTGCAGATGCATTTGTTTCCAAAGATCATTGGTCAAGCGACTCATTTTCATGAAAGGACAAAATGTTTTAGCAATACATCAATACCATATTGAAGAACGTTAGAACGTTGAGAGTAACATCTGCAGGTTTCTACAATAGAAGAAATGTCTATCTACAGCTAAATTTCCTACACTTACTTGTACCATGAGCAAACGTTTTTCTCTGGTCTGTTATTCAAAAATGCCAAAGTATATCTCCTTGATTTTATCAAGAACATTTAGGAATACATCATTTGACAAGGAATAATGTATCTACATTCCTTTGAAAGCTTCAATAAAAATTGTAATATTTTATTTATTTGCCTTATTTTGGAGTTGTTGTCAAGAGGAAAAGGCAGAAAGAAGTTCCCTGCATGCTGTGTCATGATTGCAAAAGACAACAAGCCCAATGGCAATTATTACTGTTACCACTATAAGAATCAAGAGAATTCCAAGGATTCCACCATCATCCTCAACTGCAAGAGAATATATAAGATATGATTAAAGTGCATTAAGACATAAAATATACTGCTAACAGTCCCTTTTTTGCCTCTTAATTCAGATGAGTCAAGTTGTTTTTTTCTGTTTTGGTCATGTGAGGAGTGGGGCTATGCTGCAGCCATTTTGTCTGCTGATGCCATGTCAACATGAAGATTGACCTGTGCAAAACTCATGCAGCTTTCCAATCTGTCAGTGTTTTTCATTATGTCTACCAAACAAACAAAGCTGCTTTTCAAAATAATTTTTCAAGTCGAATTTTGTACATTTGATTCCTTTGGGGTGGGGGGTTAGTATTTCAGAAGAGAAAACTATTGCTTTTTTGATGTGTGCACCCACCTTTGGAGATCATGGCTATGCCCCTCTGCAACCATAGTATATTTAATACACTAATAATATACATTTCATACCTATTTGGGCTGGTTCTTGTGGTGGTCTTGTCTCCATGAATTCTTCTTGAGCTGTAAGAAAAAGTACTCTTATTAAACAAACATAAAGCCATGAAAGTGGTACAGAATACAATTAATAAAAGTCATGCAGGATCTCAAAAAAATAGGTAAGCTTTTGATATTTTGAGGCACATTGACACACTTTAGTATTATTTCTTTGTTTATAGACTGTGTTCGACCCTCAATAGAATAAACACTACATATATTTGAATCTTAACATAATTCATAGTACTAATGTGTACTAAACAACACTGCATGGTGACAGAATAGACAAGCAATAGACATTGCACTATTAAGTGCAAAATTACTAAAAATCCATACCTTTAAGATCTCTGTTCATCTCTTCGGCCATTACTCGTTTTTGTCTCTCCATTGCCTCATAAGCTTCTCTTTTTTGCTGCCTCTCTTGCTGTTTGAGCCTTCGGCGTAACTCCTTTTCCTTCTTCTCTTCCAAAGCCTTATTCTCTTTCAGCTCTGTCAGTGTCGGAAATGAACAAGAGTTACTTATTAAAAGTTACTCCTTGAACGGAATAACAAAGACAAGAGAGGAGGATGAAGAGGCTAACTCGGGAGTCCAAGGAAACACCCTCACCCCCTCAAAATGTAATATTGAAATTGTAGGTCTCGGCGATGCATTTCCAGTGCTGGGGTGTTTCAAGGGGGGCAATATTGCAACATATTTATTGCATTAAAGACATGTCAAAGCTTTAGGCAGCTCCTAACAAAAAAATCTTTTTTTTTTGGAGGGACTGAGCCCAACCCTCTTCCCAACCCCTCTACCTCTGCAGAATGTGGAACTTTAGTTACACATTTTTTCAATTATTATAATTTTACTGTGCGGACACACTAACCAGGACCTCTTGAATGAAACTGACCAATCACAGATAACAGTAAACTAAATAGAAATTGAACTTATAACAGTGTTAGCCAATCAGATTATCAAGTTCTCGAACTCTTATTACATCAATGTGCTATCAGATTGGCCGGTTAAAAATATTGAACTAAATGGCACAATGTGATTGGTTATTCATACTTATTTATCATAGTGGTCCCGGTTGGAGTATCCGCACAGTAAGACGAGAATTCCTAATAACAGATCTTTTTTTTGTAATTATTTGTCATCATTTTATTAAGTTATGTTGGTGCATGCTCATGAAAACCATTTCAAGTCTTCTTAAATAATCAACATCATTATTTAAGTTATATTATTGAATTATTCACCCAAGACAATATGTTTCAATACTCTTCTTAACCAAAGATCAGCTGATTGATAACCCACAGGCAAGCAACAAATGTAGTTCAAGAGGCAATCAAAACCATCCATCATACCTCTTTCTTTTTGTAGCTGAAGCTGTCGTTCTCTTTCTTCAACTGATTCTTTCATCTTCAAATGTCGTAGCATCTAAAGAAGAATTCACGTTTACTTATTAATTACATATATTATATGACTATCTATGCAAATTTTAAAAATGTTATGATTTCGTTCCTGTTTTTTTAATAAACTAAGAAGTGCAGTCAACTTTCGTTATGACTGTGGAACCTGTAAGCACCATATTGCTTAGTGTCCATTTTTTTTAATGAGAGTCTGCATTAGGCTAGTGAGAGTTGATAATGGTTATTCCTTTGTCAGTATTTTTCCAAGGGAGGTTTGCTCCTGTCCACTATAGAGAGTTTTCCATAGTATCAGGGCTATGCATGAGGTGACTGACTAATTACAGGGCTTTTGGAGTAGTTGATCACAATTCTTAAGTAGCTCACTGTGATCCAATAGATTAAAGAAATCAAAAAAAAGGAAAAGTAGCAAGCAGTAAACTTTGAAGTAACTGCCAGAGCTCCGGTGCAGCCAATGGCTTATTCTGAAAGCCCTGAGTATAGTACACAAAGCAGTTGCTAAAGATAATAAGAGAATCAAGGGTGGTATTAGCTTCCTCAGCAGCTATGTAACTTCTTCCCAGGGCTCCCTTTGACTTAGACCTTGTAGAGCACAGGGGGACTGTAAATGACCTTGAGAGGACTGAGGACATCCACGAGGGAACTGAGAATGACTCATTTTCTTTTCCAGACCTAAACATCCTAGTATTCTTGAAAACTGTTAAACTTCATCTTTTACTGAATTTGCACAATATGCTAGTTAATTCAATCATGCATATACTGACCTGGTTTCCAAGAGCCTATAATTTGGTAATGAGTAGGTACTGGAAATTATGAGAATGAGGGTGACTATAATGGGACTCTAACTAACACAGGAAGTCAACTCAAAAAGATGTATGTAGAGGAGGCTAGTTAGGTCTGACATAGTGGGAGTACACTTGCCTTCCACTTCTGAGCAGCTCTCTGAGAGAGTCCCATCATCTTACACGAGGCAAAGGGGGGATGTGAGGTATTTAATTTCTTCTTTGAAAAGGGCTGGGCTTATTAGAGAGAGGAGGGAAGGGAGGGAAAGGAGGGAAATATGGTATTATTCTGCTCTCTGCAAACAATATATATTACTCACATTCCTTGCACACTGTTTACAGTTCTTAGGCTCTAAGCAATCTCCAACTACATCTGGCAGAAGGGTCTGAATTGGGTTTCCTTTGAGATCCAACCATTGTAGCTCTTTTAGATTACAAAAGCTTGTCGGCAGACTTTTCAACTCATTTTCTGACAGGTCAATTTTTCTGAGGTTTCCAAGAGCCCCAAAGTCGATTGGTAATTCTGTTAATCCATTGTTACTTAAGTCTAGCTCAACAAGGTGCCTTAGGGTGCAAAATGAATCCTGCGATCAAAATACAAATTCAAAATCTTAAAAACCTTAAAAATGAGACTCATTTACATTAAGGTTGGGTGAAACTACAGCTAAGTAACTTGATCTTGGATTTTCTGTGCCAAAAAAAACAAACAAAAGGCCCATCCTTAGTACTAGAGTCACCCTATGTTTTTTTTGTTAACTGGCTAATTTATACTCTACGTGTAGTTCATACACTACGTGTAGTTCATACTGTATATCAAAAACAGCCTGATAAGGATGCAGGCCATTATATGTTTATTAATTTGCATTAACTAAGCCAAATCATGAGTTTTAATTTTTATTAATAGACCTCTTTGGCTTGGGGTAATGTTTTCCCATTTCATACCACGTGTCATTCCCTGGAGAATAAGATTCTTTGTTTTAGTTGTATCCATATTCATGTGTCTTCTCATGTGCAACCGAGCGCAAACCTTAAACAAAGAAATGATACTCTAGTAGGGAATGACATGTGGACTGAAATGGGAAAACATTACATCAGAGCCGAAGAGGTCTATTCACAATATGATTATACTTAACATTTTGACTCCTGGGCATTTTTGGAGTTTTTTAAGTTTTTTCTGAACCTAATCATTCTCCAAGCCCTGGCAAAACCATATTTGAAGTTCTGGTGACATTGTCAGCATTTTATATGCAATTAAGGTACAAAGTTTTAATTAAGAAACGAAGAAACAGCAGCTTGATTTGGAGGTATTTCGAAAAATGAAGATTAGTCCATCAATTGAGTGGAGGGCATCATGAAACCCTTGAAGAACTGAGATTATGCAAGGGATTTTAGTGCCAAAAGTTCAAATATTCATGAATGTGCTTGGTACATTTGCGAATTTTTGGCAAGATTATCCTGTAAGCTCGTAAACAGATTGACGCCCAGGACCTACTTTGCCTTTTCTTGAATATTTGACGCATAGAGAATGCTATGAGGAGCTGATATTTCATTGGTAGGACCTAGTGACAAAGTACCTCCAGAAAAACAGCCATTGCTCGCCATGTAGAAAGAATTGACCAAGAGTCAGGTCCAAACTTAGCTTTGTAGCATTATTTTTGAGTTTAAAAAAAAAATTGAAGTAAAATTTATTTGATGATAAAGAGTAGTTTAAGATTTAGAAAATGGCGTCAAAAATAGTTAGAATTTGTGACATTTTCTCCAGATTTTTTGGTTTGAGAAGTTTTTTCTGATTAGTAGTAAAGAATTTAGCTTAGCTGTTTTCAAGTAACGGGCATTTTTTTACAGGCAGTTTTGGCTGTCGTAGGAGACAAAGGGTTATATATTAATAATGTGTTTTTTAATGATTTATTATGCTTTGCAATAAATGCCTGTTATAGTCAATCATGGCACATTGACACATATATATATATATATTTTATATACTTTATATATGGTAAAACTATAAGACCAGATATCAAATCAAAGATTTTCTTTTTAACACCTTTGGTAGACAACCTCCAGGAAATAGCTAATGTGTACGAGCATGAATCTCTACCACAAAGCATGATGGGAAACTGAGTACTACACAAATCAATCAATAGAATTATCAGAAAAACATTACTCTCTTCATTATTTTCGTCTGTTGAAATACTTACAGTTTCATAGAAAATGTTAAAGGAAAAATTGTCAGAGGGATTTTAAGAGGAGCTGAAAAACCATAAGCACTTTGTTTCCCATCATGATTTGTGCTTGTGCACATTGGCTATTGATCCTGATCCTGGAAGGGGGTGGGGTGGGTTAAGTTAGTGAAATAATGGGTCCAGTGTTCAACCCTAAAGTGCTACTCATAGACATATAAATCCTTAATTTATTTTATTCCTATGAAGCCCAAACGGTGGCTAATGTGCTTATTTCACATTACTTGTTACTATAATTTATATTTTGGGGTGTTTGGGTATTTCTTTCTCGGCTTTACTACTGATATTTTGATCATAAACTACAAAGAAATGTATGCAGCGATGTTCGATGTTGAGTCTATGACGTCACAGACTCCAAAAAATAATCGTAAAAATATCATACTTTCATCCTGAATATCGAGAAAACACTTCATACAGTGATTATTGGACTTTTAAAGAGTATTCTTAGGAAGTTTCAGCTGAATCCAAGTTTGAGCGATTTTTGTCAGAGTAGCACTTTAACTTATTTCAACACTGGCCCTGGGCTAGTAGAGCTGAAAAGTTAAATTACTACAATAGAGGTTTATCACTGCAGCCATGTTTATGTTCAGGAACAATGCAACATTTTTGCATGACAAGAGAATCTATTTCCCAAAAGGGAAAATTTCTATATGTTTTGCCCTCAAACTTGGCTTCTATATAATTATGACATCACATGAAAAACCTCTATATATAGCTAAGAGTTCTTTATCAATAAACTGTTACAAATTACTGAACAGCTATTGGCTAGTGCTTGTAAAGTTTTACTAAGACCAGAGTCAAATTGTACTAAGCCAAAAAAAGTGGGCTTCCACTAGGTTGTGCACTGAGCTGGGTCTGATAATCATAATACATGACCAGGTAGACATTACACTGAGGCCCCGTCCACACTATGTCGGATAAATTTGAATGCGAATTTTTATTTATTTGGTTAGGCTTACCATCCACACTAGTCAGGGCGAATCTGGAACAATTCTTCACCGAAAASGTTTTTTTTTTCGAATACGGTCTCCAGAGTGGAAAAATTTGAAAACGCCAGTTAGCCATATTAGTGTGGATTTTTTCAGATAGGATGACATCATAATTGTCATGGGAACATGGTGGGAAGGCTAAAAATTCACCGCAGGCTCAATTTCAGCTTCGACGCACATGCTCAGATGTGCAATGAAGCGTTTTTGCCGCCTCTGATAGGACAAGTGTGGACGCAAAACATTTTATTCGTTTTCGGATTCAAATTTATCCGACATAGTGTGGGCGGGGCCTGAGTATTTATTAAAATAACATTCAAAATTTGGAAATCCTGGGGTACTTCAAAAATTATCTCCATTGGTAAAAATCAAGTGGCAATCCTTTGGAGAGGCAAGAAGGAGAAAAATAGATATTCTCATGTGGGAGGCCTTATAGGGCAAATGACTGAATAATCGTTATTAAGGTGAATACCTTATAAATTTATATGCTTGCAAGCTTTAATGGGACTAAATTTCATTCATATCCTGGTTGATCGTGATAGGATCAATTAATGACGGCCAAATGGTCTAACTAATTGATATCATTTTAATAATTTTGAAAACGCCAAAGAAAAATTAACACAAAGCTGAATGGACGGCAAACAGTTTTTTCAATAATTCAATATTCTATTAACCATTGTATACCTCCATTAACTTACCGGTAAAGTAGTGAGTCTATTACGGGATAAATCTAAAACTGTGGCTTTAGGCAGGGCCACCTGTGACAAGAGAAATACATATATATATATGTATTAAGATTACCAAGGAAAAACACAACTGCGATAAAACTACTGATCGAGCAATCAGACAACAAGTGTCTGTAATAATTAAGCTTATCAGGAAATAACCTCATGTATTTGCTTCTTTAACTAAATAAAATAACGAGGCTCTTATAATATTTTTGGAACAAACCCGTACGAAAGGTTGAATATCAAATATTCAAGTATAGAATTTTCTTATAGGAGAAAACTCACTCATATAATATATTTGTAGTACGTACTGTAGTTCCTGGGTTATTCGATCAGTAGTAAATCTACACTTTTAAAATCGCGTTCGTCAAAGTATTACACTCCTAAATGTCAAGCAGCTTTCATCTACTATCGACATTAAAAGATCAGATAAAAACAAAAGCCCCAAGGTTCTAAAAAATCCACGTGAACAAGTAGAATTTCATTAAATTTTGCAATAATCGATCAATATGAAAAACGTAAATATAAAAGTGGTGCTCAGCTGATGAAAGACTGAGTCCCTAAAACCTTACCAATTCTCTAACTGGAACCTTAGTAAGTTGGCACATACTTAGGTCTAGTTCGTTGCCATCTATTTTGTCTCTGATCTCGTCTTTTGAGAATTTCCGAGCCATTTTTTGAGGTTTTTTAGAGCAGTAGTTTTCCCAAGTGCTGGCTAGGTACTCGTCCCGTTTGAGCTTGCGATGATTCAGCGGTTACCTACTAGTTCATAGTCCACCGCGAATCCTCAGTCACGAAATATGCGATAGCGTGATTCAGCGTGACATCTTTCAGTATTTTGCAATTAATTTTTCTTTTGATTTATCTCTGCCTCCTAAGATTCTACGTTGAAATATAGCTTCAAGAGTTGTTTTCTTTTTTACAAATATAGAAAAAAACATCGTCCTTTCAGTTTCTTTCAATATTTTTTTCGTGCGAAAACTTGCGTGACAATCCAGCTTTAAACTGCCGACAGCCCCCACATATAAAAGTTGAAATAAGAAAGAAACAAATTAGAAAGTAAAAAGCAAACAAAACAAAGAAGAATAGTCACAAAATAGAAATATTGCATTGATTCGGTGGTGACCGAAAAGCTGTCAGTTGACATTTATTTTCGCTCGCAATCAATTAGATTTTATTTCAGTTTCAGAACAGTCATTGACTTAACAAAAGTGGAATTTTCAAGTACTACTTAAAGGATTTATTACGCCTTACGTCTTAAAGCTTTTGTAGCGCTCCGGTAGGCTTTGACTGGCCCCATCTACAAAGATAAAAGATGCGGAAGAGCTGCTAAAAGCTTTATTTATCACCCATAACTGCTACGCTTGTTTCTAGCATCCTAATATTGACGTATATCGAGACGATAATTAAAATACAAAATGAAAAATTTAGTTGTCCATTTTCCCTTAAAAGCAAAAAGTTTAAAATATCTATTTTAAAGTAAAGCTGCGTTCAGCAACGAGAAAAAAATGGAGCTAAAATGGACTAAATTTCTCTAATGAACGCGCCATAATGAGTTACGTGGGACTGGCCCCACCGATTATGAAATCATTACAAAAACAACCATTCGAAATTAGACCCTAAAATATCATTATTATTTTTCATAGCGTCATAAGTCGCATAAGGTCTAAGTCCGTCAACCATGACACTAGATAGAATAATCTCACTGGGTAAACCGGAATTTCATTTTGAGGGATAAAATATGAGATGGTTAGAATTTATTAATTATCAAGATAGGTTTCAAAGCATTATTCATTCATAGAGGAACAGCTACAGTAGTGATTTGGGTGTAGAAATCCAGTGACATACGTCCTCCAAATCGACCATTGCCGCTTTGTTTATGCCCCCCTTGGAGCATGCTGGGACAGTTTAGCAGCCAGCTGTTGATCCATACGATTCTAAACATTGAAAATAGAAAACAATTCATTTGTCAGCTGAACGAAAGACTCAAGATAAGCTTATCCATCAAGTTGAGAACCTGAAACCAAAGATTAGTTTGAAGAATGGTTAAAGAAAAAGGTTGAAGTTTTTTAATTCATTTCACATTCTGAGTTCTCTTCTCTTCTCTTCTCTTCTCTTCCTTTCTATCTTTTTTTCTTTTCTTATCATCTTAATTTCAGTTCTCACTTTCAGTTCCCATATTTCTCAATTCTCTCTCTTCACAGTCTCTCACTTTCCTTCTCTCCATGTATCGCTTTCTTTAATAATTGGGAATAACGAGTCAGAGTCAACGATTTTATGTCCACTAAGAAAAAATATCATTGAATTTTACCCTGCGTCTAGGAGTTTGGCCATGCGGTGAGTCCGTGCTCCATCTTTACTCCATATAGAGGCTGACAGACCATACGGTGTGCTGTTTGCTCCCTTCGCTGCTTCATTCTCGGTGTTAAAGGAAATTATTCGTATCTAAATCCAAAAACATAACCAAGAACGACAAGATGTTATTTTCATGATAGCATGATCTACTTATTATACATAGTCGTGATACTTATTCTGAGAACTGTGCGCAAAGCCAATCAAATTTAAGCCAACTCCTTTTATTTAGTGACTGAAAACAGGCTGCTGTTAGCATCAATGCGTGCAATACATCTGTCATAATACTCTGTTAAAATATTCAAGTTGAACAGTTCCGTCGATACTAACGACCTTGAATGCCGCGAGATATATTTTCATGTATGATAATCCTATCAATGGTTCAGGTAAAATAAATTATTGGTCCTACATCAATTTTGTAAGATACCAAAGCAATCGAGTAAGAGTGAGTGCGCAATACTTTCTAACAGAAAAACAATGCAGAAAGAAAGCCAGATTGTATCCATATAGTATACATGATATATACGAGCATCCCACAGTTTCTTACCACTGGACCTTGAACCTCCATTACATTTATTTGATTGTTCGTCGCATTTTTAAATCCTATAAACATTGAATTATAAAGGAATTTTAAAACAAAAAGTTTAAGGCCGAACAACAAAAATAATTTGCGCATATCCAGGTATAAATTAGTAGAATCAATGCAATTATTCACATTATGAATATTTTTGAAGTATTTATAGCCACAGAAATTTAAAGTTTTTATTAGCGTGGAAGTATTTTCTTCCTATTGCTTTATAATTAACATAATTCATTCTCAGAGCTCCAAGTGTCTTATTTGCTCATCAAATGGAGAACGCGTAAGATATCTTTTGTGCATGTGTGCATGAAACATATCCATTTTCAAAATTGCGAAAGATCAGTAATTATTGTTTCTCTAAATGTAATATCAAAAACAGTGTTTGGTCTGTTTGGTGATACAGTGTTCTTTTGGTTAAAAAAAAAAAGAGGGATCACGTGATTTTGTTGGATAGAAATTGAACATTTTGAAACTCAAACGTAGAAGAGAATCGATTGTGTTTATCACGGAAGAGACCATGCACCAGGCACAATGCACCATAGTGCAAGTCATACGCACAACGTACCACCGCCAACTGCCATGCACCGCGCTTGCACCACGCTTGCAACAAGTACGCACAACGCATCACATACCACCCATTATACCCTCGCACCAAGCATTACGTACGCACTACGCAACACCTACCATGCACCGCACAACGCATTACTGCGCACAATGCAACACGCACCATCACCACGCACAATCCACCGTGCACCATTACTTCCACGCACTATACATCACTGCGCACAATGCACCACGTATTCACAAAGTAATACGTACCATCTACTATACACCAAGAATAATGCCCCATTGCACCACGTACATCATGCGCTAGATACCCACGACGCACCACTTACCACGCACCACGAATCAACTTTTATGCAAGATACAACATTCACCACGTACCATGCACCACCATCCACCACCTACTTCCTATCATATACAACACGTACGCAAATGCACGATGCACAATGCACTCGATACAAGCAATTTTTGTAAGAGGTTATTAGAAAAAGAGCTATTAAATATAAATACCCCCAAGAATCGTAGGCTCCAGAAAGTACCCCTTTTCTAGTTTGCTGTCAAGTTTAGGAACTTTTCCACCATAAAGTAGCGTCGCCCCATCGTTTATTGCCCCTTGAATACAGGACAGCACCATCTGATGATGCTCCTTACTAATTAATGGTCCCATCTGAAATTAGGAACGAGATAGTAATTGAGGATTAAAATCAGGAAGGGGAGGGCTGTAAAAGCGGAAGGAAATGAATTTTGGGGCCTCTAAAATAGTTGCGTAATGACTGGAAAAGAAAAAAAAAAGAAAGAAAAAAAGAAAGAAAAAAAAAACAACCCAGAACAAGAGGAGACCGTAAGTAATCTGTAGAGTATCAAAGTATAACAACGTGTCCAACAGACGTACCATAATTAGCGGTACATGACATGTATAGAATGATGAAACTTATAATTCTTGATATCAACTATTAAACATTGAGTAGCACTAGATTTTGTTTCACGAGAGGCCATCACTGTCTATATAGAAGCGACCAAATATAATTTTCAACTTTTTGTTATTAGACCCCTATGCTTTAATTGTAACCTAATTCCGTTTCATGTGAGCCGTAACTCTTGCTTGTTTCTTACTTATTTTTATCGGTAGCGCTTAAGAGAAATAATTTAAAAAGCTGCAATTTTATTTGCAAAAAATAAAAAAATAAAAAAATAAATAAATAAATAAAAGAAGTCTAGAAAATGTTAATTCGATTATAGACACTTCCCTTCTCCCTATTCCCTATCGTCCCGCACGCCGTGCCCGCCCC